ATGGTGCATCTAAATCTTCATGGTTCAGAAACAATCCAGTTCATTTCTAAAAGTTTTTTTTACTGTTACAGAGCAACAATAATGAGAAAAACTTTCTGTATTCTGTGAGGGTTAGTTTCCAATATTAGCAGAACCATCACTAAGAAATATTATTCAAATTTGCTTCAAATGAAGAGAAATTCCTCAAGGCCTCATTCTTGGAAAACTCCATCTCAGTCTCTGTCCTATATTATAACTTTGTCCAATAACCTTCTCTAAATGCTTGTTAACTATCATTCCATTACTCTAATACATTGTATTGCAATGTTTTTGATGCATCATTCTTTTAATATTCTCTATCCTAGTTCTATCTCACTTCTAATAACCTTCTCTAAATGCTTGTTTAACACTATTAGAAACTCTAATACTGTAAAGTTTTTGGTAAATTGTGTCTATCCAACTTTATACTGATTTATAGTTACAACCTTCCCTTAATGCTTGTTAAACACTATTACAAAACTCTGATATAATATTGTAAAGTTTTTGATAAATTTGCGTGTTTGTATAATTAGAATGTAACATCTCTATCCTAGTTTATTCTGACTTCATGATATTGATTTTATACAAACAAAGATCTATTTCTTATGAAGACTTTTGAAGACAGACGCCTTCAAGGCAAACTGAGAAAAAAAATCTAATTTCAGTAATTTCATCACCGTGTTTTCCACATGGCCACTAAGGAGATTGAAGAGCTGAGTCAATCACGACAAGGGGAGACTACTGGGACAGGTTCTTGACAAATTGTTTTTCCTATTAGACGTATATTATATTAATATGTATCTTTCTGGATAAATAGATCTATCATCTGTAAACAATCTTTATTGTCTACCAGTTTGGGATCACATCCTACTTTTATTTCCATAAAAAATGTTTTTAAAAAGGATGTCCAATCTATCGCCCTCAACATAGCATCCTACATTAAATAAAGCACAAAATTTATTCCCTAATATTTCATATCTAGAGGGTTTATCTAAAGTTGATGGTGTGTAGCATCCTTTAATGTTATCTGATATCTATTTGGAGGTTTATCTAAAGTTGATGGTGTAGCATCCTTTAATGTAATCTGATATCTATTTGGAGGTTTATCTAAAGTTGATGGTGTAGCATCCTTTAATGTTATCTGATATCTATTTGGAGGTTTATCTAAAGTTGATGGTGTAGCATCCTTTAATGTAATCTGATATCTATTTGGAGGTTTATCTAAAGTTGATGGTGTGTAGCATCCTTTAATGTAATCTGATATCTATTTGGAGGTTTATCTAAAGTTGATGGTGTGTAGCATCCTTTAATGTAATCTGATATCTATTTGGAGGTTTATCTAAAGTTGATGGTGTGTAGCATCCTTTAATGTAATCTGATATCTATTTGGAGGTTTATCTAAAGTTGATGGTGTGTAGCATCCTTTAATGTAATCTGATATCTATTTGGAGGTTTATCTTAAGTTGATGGTGTAGCATCCTTTAATGTAATCTGATATCTATTTGGAGGTTTATCTAAAGTTGATGGTGTAGCATCCTTTAATGTAATCTGATATCTATTAGGAGGTTTATCTAAAGTTGATGGTGTAGCATCCTTTAATGTAATCTGATATCTATTTGGAGGTTTATCTTAAGTTGATGGTGTAGCATCCTTTAATGTAATCTGATATCTATTTGGAGGTTTATCTTAAGTTGATGGTGTGTAGCATCCTTTAATGTAATCTGATATCTATTTGGAGGTTTATCTAAAGTTGATGGTGTAGCATCCTTTAATGTAATCTGATATCTATTTGGAGGTTTATCTAAAGTTGATGGTGTGTAGCATCCTTTAATGTAATCTGATATCTATTTGGAGGTTTATCTAAAGTTGATGGTGTAGCATCCTTTAATGTAATCTGATATCTATTTGGAGGTTTATCTAAAGTTGATGGTGTGTAGCATCCTTTAATGTTATCTGATATCTATTTGGAGGTTTATCTAAAGTTGATGGTGTAGCATCCTTTAATGTAATCTGATATCTATTTGGAGGTTTATCTAAAGTTGATGGTGTGTAGCATCCTTTAATGTTATCTGATATCTATTTGGAGGTTTATCTAAAGTTGATGGTGTAGCATCCTTTAATGTAATCTGATATCTATATGGAGGTTTATCTAATGTTGATGGTGTGTAGCATCCTTTAATGTTATCTGATATCTATATGG